TGAAGGATTTTAAAGATGAATGTGATATTTGTTATGAAAAATCTAAAACAGCATTAACAACTAAATTTAAAGATTATAATGAAGAGAATGTTAAGAATGTTATGGATAGTGTTAGGAAGTGGATGAATGATTGGATTAAAGAATAAAAATCGTGTATATAATATTAAAGTGTATAAATATCACAATAAATTTTGATTTTCCCTCTAAAAGTTTGGTTTTTGATGCTAACATATGACCCTAAAATTTTAAATTCATTAACTACGCAAAAATATACATAATAACTTCATAAAAAATTATAATAACTTGTAACTTGGTTTTGGAAAAGGATCTGGTACGTTTTCCCGACAACCGTTTCCCCGACAGGACGTTTCCCCGACAAATGCATTTCCCCGACAGGACATTTATCCGACAAGGTTTTGTTAACTATATTTAATATTAATTGGCTAATAAATGGCCTAACCGACTTAAACAGCTTAGTCGCCTAATGAAAGGGTTAATAGACTTAAATGGTTTGATAAACTTAGCCGGCTATTTCATGACAGGGAAACAAATAAATATTGTAATACAAAATGTAATTGTCGGGGAAACATCTTGTCGGGGAAACGTCCTGTCGGGGAAACGTCTAGGTACCTTTGGAAAATGTATTGCGAAATAGAGATGTTGGAAGGTGTTGTGTCATATTACTGCTTCTGGGACAAAACTCGGATTTTCTGAGACAATTTATCCAGTTTATAGCTACAAGGTCTTCCAGAAGCTTATTTCATGGATTTTGATAACATTTTTCTGGATATCCACAAGGACTTGTATGCAACGATTTTAACTGTTTTTATACTAAGCTTTCCAATGAAAAAAGGGCTTGCGAAGGAATAGATATGAACTGAGCTAGCCTGGTCTATAAAGCCAATTAGTATACACAGTGAATCTCGATTTAGCGGATAAGTTTGGCCCGAGAAATTTATCCGCTAAATCGAAATATCCGTAAAAACGAGAAATTTGGAATTAGCGAATTTTATGTGAAATCAGTTAAATTTAAAAAAATAATGTAATAATATAATAATTAAACATATATATAAACTACAAAAAAAAATTTTTTTTATTTATTCTAACATATATATAGTATTCTTCAATCCTTGTTTGTATTCTTTTGTAAGAAGTTTCCTTCTTTAATTTATTGACATTTCTAATTACTTGGAATCAATTTCCAAATTTTTTTGTTGTACATATTTGAGTGCAGTTTCCAAACTTTTTATAGCTTCTGTGCTTATTTTTTTTTTTTTTTTAAATTGAT